AAAAAAAAAAAAAAAAAAAAAAAAAAAAAAAAAAAAAAAAAAAAAAAAAAAAAAAAAAAAAAAAAACAATTTCCCACGTTTTGTCCTTTTTTTTTCCTCTTCTATTTAATTTTGAAGCCCACGTTTTTCTTAAGGGATAAATGCACTATAATTTATATATGAACACGTGGATGAAATGAAAATATTGAAAAAGTAAATTATTAAAAAAAACATAAAAACAACGTGTATTCGTTCGTATGACTAGAGGACTTGAATAATTCGATTATTCAACTCAAACCATAGTTCGATTGGTTGGTTGAGACTTTTTTGGTCGAGTCAACCTACCTAATCTTAAAATATTGTTCACAACGTAACATTTCCTTACTTTTAATGTGATTAATAATATAAAAAATATCTAAAGTTTGTAACTGATATTAGTGAATATTTAATATTTGAATTTATGTCTGGGGAATAAATTTGTTTTTTTAAATAATAAAAAATAAATAATTGAATGTAAGTTTAGGGGCCAAAATCCAAAAAATAATATATTCAAAAGAAATAAATTTGTAGAGGAATTAAATGATAAATTATAAAAAATAAAAATGAGAAAATGGGGCAATATGCTGCAATGAGTTCGCTTTATGATGGGCCTTGTTGGGCTGGACCAGAATGACTGAACTTCACACACAAAAGACGGCCTTTTATTTATTTATTTGTTTCTAAATATTAGATGGGCCAAGAGAAATTGTTAGTTTTAAATGTAAAAAAAAAATAGTTAAATTTATTAGATTTTGCTAAAAATAAAATGATTGTAATTACCAATAAGCCCGTGAAATTTTAAAATTACATATTTTACCTTTATAAAAAAATTCAAAAATTAATACATTTACAAAAATCGTCTATAAATACTTATTTTATTATATATATATATATTTTTTTTTTCATTTTCTAAAAATAGAAATTATCTATTTAAAATATATATGAAAAAAAATTTTAAATTCTCATTAAAAAAATATATTTATCTATGTGTTTTAAATAGTGAAGTTGAGGAGTAAAGAGTCAAAATTGATAATATCTATTCCGAATTGGACTATTACTAATAGTATAGAGATAGATGATTTTTTTTTTTTTTTAATATTTATTACCTTTTTGTTTGAAATGAGTTAATAGATCAACAGCCCCTTATTCAATTCAAACTCTCCATCTTCCTCACTGGGATCATAAATGGCGCTTTATGACCTAAACCTGCAAATTTCGTCCACATTTTTCCATTTCCTCAAAGCTCAGAAGTCAAATTTAATGAAACTTCTTTTTGGATAGCAGACAATAGAAGTTTTGATGGTTCCAATTCGATCTGCCATTAAAGATAAGCTGCAGAATGTGAGTGAGTGAGAGAGAGAGAGAGAGGGAATTGCAATTGCAACGACGAGTCTCATTGAATTGTGGTTGTTATGAAGCTGCGTCCGTGGATCTTACATGGTTGAGCAGGTGAAAGATTTTAATGGCGAACCCCATTAAGAAAAGTACTCTTCTCAGAGAAGAAAACCTTCCAATTCCCACCGACGCCTCTATATAAATCGATAAATTATTGCTCTCTGTACGTTTTTACAACTCTCTCACCTGTTTTCTTGTTTGCCTTTTCGTTGAAGAGTTTGAAACTTCTGTGTTTCTCTCTCTAGAGTTATGGTTTATTCGAGGAAGTTCAGGGGAGTTAGGCAGCGGCAGTGGGGCTCGTGGGTGTCAGAAATCCGCCACCCATTGCTGTAAAATCCCCTTTTCATTACGTTTTTTTGGTTCTTCTGCTATAAATATATGCGCCGTTGATTGGGTTTGTTGGTTAAAAAATGCTCTGTATAACCATTTTTTGTCTGGCGCCCATAACCTGTTTGATGATTTGCCTGAAAGAAACCTGGCGGTGGCGGCATGGATTTTTAAACCTCATTGTTGTTGTAAATATGTGTGTTCTTGCTTGTGTTGTTTTGGTTGAGAAATGCTCTGAAATCCCATGTTTTGTCTGGCCCCATAACCTGTTTGATGATTTGCCTGAAAGAGACCTGGCGATGGCGTCATGGATTTTTAAACTTCATTGTTGTTGTAAATATGTGTGTTATTGTTTGTGTTGTTTTGGTTCACAAAAGCTCTGAAATCCCATGTTTTGTCTGGCGCCCATAACCTGGTTGTTGATGTGCCTGAAAGAAGCTGAGTGGCCATGGCGTTGGCATGCATATCTATGTGTTCTTGGCTGTGATTTGGAACTACATTACATCATGAGCTCACATTCTTATATTGTTCATGTGTTTTTCTTTGTAGGAAAAGAAGGGTGTGGCTAGGGACATTCGACACAGCAGAGGATGCAGCACGAGCATATGATCAAGCATCCATCTTGATGAACGGCCAAAACGCCAAGACCAATTTCCCTGCATCGAAAGACCGATCTGAAGAAGCCAGCCATGGCCATAGCGCTTCTCCATTGTCCCCAAAAACACTCTCAGAGCTACTCAGCACAAAGCTCAGGAAGTGCTGCAAGAACCCTTCTCCCTCCTTGACATGCCTGCGACTCGACAGTGACAACGCCCACATCGGTGTCTGGCAGAAGCGCGCAGGCACTCGAGCAGCCTCTGATTGGGTCATGAGGATTGAGTTAGGAAAGAAGGAGACCCCGTCACCGTCAATGTCGCTGTCCCCGTTGCCCGAACCTGCAAGCCAGGAAGCTGAAGGCTGCCAAAATGGGATTGATGAAGAAGACAGAATTGCAATGCAAATGATCGAAGAGTTGCTTAGTTGGAACTGCCCCCTTCCTTCAACTTCAAGCTAGGTACAAAATCTCAACACAAAACTCAACTCTATAAATAAAAGAACCCATTATCCAAACACAAAGAAACTTAATTAATCTCTGTGTTTGACTGTCTATGTATGTATGTATCTATCTATATATATATATATGTGCTGTTTATGGGGTTTGGGAAGCTCAAAATCTGTATAAAGGGGGAGCTTTTGCATATAGATGAGTTGCTGTTTTATGTCAGGTTGTATCAAAATCATAGAGGATTGTAAGCTATATACATACATATATATATATATATATATATATATATATATATATAGGGAGAAAGTTTGCAGATTATGAGCAAAGGAATGACAAATTTGGTAGTAGGTTGAATTTTCTCGGTGTAGTTTTAGAAGTTAAAATTTTGTCATTTAACGTTAAAATTCACGAAAGAGTGCATTCTAATATCACGTATTCAATCCATTACGATCATAACTCCCTCTTAGTGACTTTTAACTCTTGAAACTACTTATGAATTTTTATCGAACTTTAGGAACGAAATTCTTACGTTTTTTTTGGGAACCAAATTCATAATTTGATCTAATATTTAATATTGTCAATACTTGTAACTTCATCTACACTTTTTTTTTTCCTTTGTCTATTTGGTTCTCGGACATTTATTTGTTGCTAGTATGAGAAAAGTCTTATCTAGCTCGGGTAGAAACATGGAATATATTTTCATCCTCGACCTCGTTTAGCTAATGAGGAGAAATTCCTCTCGTTCCCTCACTCATTCTCGTTGGGTTAAATGAACATCTCTATTATCGATTTACTATGCTCGTTTTGACAATTTTTCGTCCAAGTTGTCACGTTTTGTTAATTAAATAAACCTTGGTAATTTAGATAAAATCTCCTTATTTAATTGAAAATTTTAGAGCCACACAAATACTTCATAGAATCAAATATAATTGGAGCCACAAAATTTGAAAGGGAAAATGGATGGCTCAAGAGGTTTCCCATGGGTAAGGTTTGACAATTTTTGTAGCCACTTTATGATTGACACGTGGCATTTCCTCAAACGTTGACTTTCTACAAATCTCATTTCATTATTCTCTTTATTTATTATTTATTTTTCCATAGAAATTTATTAAATTTTGTTGCTTTTGTAAAATTTTTTAAAAAGAACTCTGGACGCGGGTTAAAAAGCTAAAATTAAATGAAATATTAGCGGTTAAAACATGTTTAAATGTATACTGGAAACGAGAAGAATAACAATATATAAGCGAGAAGTAATAGTCCTATTGAAACTAGATGTTTTGAGTGGAATCTAAAATTTAATATTAAAAATAAAAAAAATTAACCTCTTAAAATAAAAATATATTTTGAGACTATAGTTTTCCTTTTTCTAAAATATTGCATATTGTATATGCGATATCTCAGGTTGAGAGGAGAACAAACGAGAGAAAATCTGGGATGGTAAGATTTATTTCGAGAATTCGAACTAGAATATAACTCGGCTCTGAATCAGATTTCTTCCTTGAGAAACTCCGATCGGATCCGAAAGAACAGGCATGTTGCTTGCCGTGCTGATTGCCAACTCCGTCGGCAACATTCTCGTCGAACGGTACCATTTTTTTTTTCTTATGCTGCTTGGCTTAATCGATTGAGCATTTTTCTGTTCCGTTTCCTTTTCATGTTTCTGATGTGCGTTAGCTAGAATGTGTGATTTGAATGGCTTCTTTGTGTAATCAATCGCTTTGTTGTGGTTTTCTGTGCCGATTGCTTTGATTTTTGTGTGAAATGTGCGATTAGCTTCAGATGTATTCCTATTAGAATTGAAATAAGCTTGAGAATTTAGTGTTTAGGAGGGAAATGTTGCTCTGTCTCTGCCATCTACTCTAACTTGGACTGACTTTGTGTTCTATTGGTTAGGAATTCTTCGCCATCTAATTTCATGCGATTGAACTGTTGATCATGATTTTTATTTGTTTTTTAAGGTTTCACGGAGTTCCGGCAGAGGAGCGATTGCATTGGCGATCCTTTCTAGTGAAGCTGGGAGCTGATAATCTCAAAGGTGCAAAAAATGAAGAGCTCTATGTTGCTTCGCACAAGTGAGTGGAATCTTCCGATCAGTTCTTTAGAAGCAGTTTTGAACAATTCTCAGTGATGCATTATAATTGAAAACTGATCTTTGCAAAAAATGACGAGTTTTCATACTCTGCATCTGAGGCACCGTTTGGTGATCTTCCCACCCCTAGGGTGCAAAGGAGAAACTCAAAGGATAACGATTGAGCCTCATCCTCCTCTTCTATTGAGCTTCATCCCTGAGAATTTTCAAATGCACGAGGGAAATCGATGAAGTTTATTTGCGTGATTATTGTTATAATGTTTTAGTATCGCAATTGTCGCCAAGTCCATTAAATCCAATAGGATATAATAGACAGCTAGAACTTACAAGCCTCCATTTCCATTTTCCTCCATTGCTGTTCTTTGATCGGTTCTGTTTCTCATCTCCAACAATAATAGGCAGCTAGAAACTGCAAGTTCAAGCTTGTTTATGAATAATGAAGTCTTTGGTATTCCAGAGACAACGCCAATATGAGTCAAATGTTCTTAGGATCTGCCCCTTGGCCCCCTTGATTCTTTGAAAAACTTGTTGAACTTGATCTAGTGCCTTGATCTTTTATTATTATTCTTGCATAACCTAGACCAATTGGGGCATAAGCGAACAACTTCTTTTCTTTTTCTGTAGACTAAATGGTATCCACTCTGCCAAGCAATGACTGCACGAATAATAGACTCTTCATAGGTACCTTCTATTGCCAAAGCCTCTTGGTCATCTCCTTAGAAATTGCCTAACTTACCAAGTAAGATCTTGAAGATGGATTGAAGAGAAGCTATTCTACTTCTCTATCACTTTAATGACTGTTAAAAATAAGGTTCCACCCCTGACATGGGATATTTTGAATGCATAAAATGATCATCATTTTGCTTCCATCTAATTACTGTTATGGACTGAGTACTCATTTATCAAATTGTCTCTTTATCCTTCCTCCAACTCAAGAGGGAGGTATTGAAAACATAGTATTTGCTATCTACAACTGCAAACCTCTAGGGGCTTCTTGAACTACTGTTGAAATGTGTGGTAGTTGCCATATAGTACAAAAGTTACAAAGGCTGTGTTCTTAGCTCGAATGGTCACCAATGTTTGAAATAAACTGTTTTACTGCTAAATAAAATGCTTCCCTCTCCAAATCTGGATGTTTCCTTTGATAATTTTTCTTTTTCTCTCTTTCTTTATTTATTTTTTTCTCTTTCTTCCCTTTTTTCCCAATAGACTGCCTTGCTCATGAGGGAATCTTAAACAACAAGGTTAGCCAGTGGCTTGAATAAGAGTCAACCTTCCCCATCTAAAATAAAAGCATTTCTCATACATTACGTCAATCAGTCCCTTTCAATTTTGTGATACTTCTCATTGGATTGTCTTCTGTAGCTGGTTTTACCATTAAATTTGTCTAACATTCTGTAACAGGTCTGTATACGTTGTTTACACAGTCCTTGGTGATGTTGCTGTTTATGTTGTTGGGAAGGATGAATATGATGAATTAGCTTGTAAGTAAATGCCCATTCTTCCATTTTCTTTGGACTCAATTCCTTCTCTCTCCCTCATCCTCCTGATAAAAAATTGCAGCGTTTCCTTTTCTTTTGTTTTGTTTTTATCCCGATCTTTTCTGTGTCATTTATCCTCTACGTTAATGTCCTTTCCTCTTCTTCAAGTGGCAGAAGTGATCTTTGTAATAACATCATTGATAAAGGATGCCTGCGGGAAAGCTCCAACCGAGCGATTGTTTCTTGACAAATATGGAAAGATCTGTTTGTGTCTTGATGAAATTGTCTGGATGGTATGTCCTTTCTTTTCTCCCTTACTCAGAATTCACCTTGTAGGTTCCGTGACTGAGCTGCCAAAAATCATGGGGCTCAAGCTCATTATCCAGCCAGATTTAGTGATAGTCATGTTAAAATCTTGAGACTTTAATTTGAGAAAACTCTTTGCAAATTGCCTTGGAGAGAACAGAGTGTCTGAGAAAACAAAATGGTGGTGTTGTTTTGTTGCGGGCACAGAACAAATTATCGATTTTTCCTTTTATTTTTGATCTGTAAGTTTGATTTTTGTCAAGCAATTTTCAGTTTCGAGGAGGAAAGATTTTTACATCCGTTTCTTATTTAAAAAAAATAAATAAAAAAGCTTTGTGAAATGTTTTTCTCTGAATAGAAATTTGAGGCTCTCTCATAATTGCTAAAGAATACCCAATGTAGCATATTGACTACACTTGTTCTACTATAGATCATGTCTGCGGTGGTGAAACGTATCTCATGGCTAAAATATTTATTGAAGATTCAGACTGAGATATCTGTATTTACAATAATTATATTTCATCTCTAATAAAATTCCTTGACAATAATAGTTGATACTTTGTTTGATCTACAATGTCATTGAATTAGATGGGTTAAATGCAGCGGTTAGCTTTTCACATCTTCAATGTTACTTATCTATTTCATGTCTGTGAAGGGCATCTTGGAGAACACAGAGAAAGACAGGATCAAGAGGCTGGTAAGGTTAAAGCCTCCAAATGAGTTTTGATTTAATGAAACGGTAGCACATCCTCTCAGTCATCCACTTCGACGTTACTGCTTCCACGTGGTTATCTTCCTGCTTTTCAACTCTTTTACCCGCAAGATCGTTTCAGCCCTGTGTATTCATGGTGATCGTCGGTATGTTTACTTTACTTCCTATTCTATTTTGTTCGGTTTGTAAGTTAGAACACACGATTCTAAAAGAATTCAAGGGATTGTTTGGATTAAGATTTTCATAGCGGGTAGGAAGCTTGCGACTACAGACTACATTGGGATTATGAAGTAAATTTGTAGTTGAGAACTAAAGATTAGTGGTTGAAACTTTGAAGTAGTATTCTTTGGTAAAAATACGTAGATTTGGTTTTGATATTCGTCTGAAGAAATGATACTTCCTATTAAGAACTTCCTTGATAGATAAGGCCCATGGACTAGCTAACTACGAACCGAGGTTAGCTAGTCCATGGGCCTTAAGAACTTCCTTGTTGTGGTAGTCATCTATTTAAGGTTTAATATTCTACTAACCGAGGTGTCTATATGTTGATATAATCGAGTGGTCATTAGAGCCATTGAAAAAGTAAAAGGACTCTTCGAAATCACCTACCTAAGATCTAATGTTTGATCAAATATAGTAGGGTTAGATGATTGTACTTTTGTTCGGTAGGTAAGGCACCATTCTCTTCTAGTATGTTCGGATGTTCAAATTTCTATATCTACCTTGATTGAATTTATAAAAATATATGTATTTTGTTCGAACAAATTATCACACTTTGGAAAGAAATTTTATTCCTAGATGTTATCGTTGTTGACTTAGAGGTGAGAATTGAATTGAATTGAATTATGGAAGGGGCAGGGCGAGATTGGCGACATGGAAATCCCATCTCACAATGTCCGTTGCTCAAATGCCTTGTTTGTAAAGGTATTCTTTTCCATAATCTATGGCGGATTAGTTTTAGGGTGTATTTGGATTAAATTTCATGTGTTTAATTTAAAATGAAAATCATTTAGAATCACTAAAATGACTTTTTAAAAATGAGTTTGAAAAATAAGCTATTTTGAAAGAAATATTGGACACCATCGAACAATGCTAACAACTAATTTGGAGAATACTGCCAGTGACAACTTCAACGACTTAATAGTCCATCGATCATAATGTTCCTCAATTGCTCATTTTTGAGTTCTACCACGTGCTTATCTCTCAATTCCTCTGGGTGTTCTCACTTTTTTTTTTTTTTTCATTTGTCGTGTTCATTTTGTTTTATTCCATTTAACTCATTTGTTAAAGTAATCGAAATGAATTCATATTTAATTTAAAATCCTAATAATTATTTATTAAGAGACAACTATATTATGAGAGCCTCGTTCAAGAATTGTTTATGTAATTCTTGAGTTTACTTTCTATCTTAAAAAATTGTTTACAAATGGTATAAATCTAAAAACAATTATTAAAGGATGTTTATTTACATATATAAATATACTTTCAATTTTTTTAAAAAATTTATATTCTATTAATTATGCATTTACATTACATTATATCATTTTCTAATTTTCAGCGAAGAAATATATATTTTTCTATTTTTTAATTCAACAATTATGAGACAAAAAAAAAAAAAAAAAAAACTAAAAAATAATAAATGTTAAAAAAATAATAATGTTAATAACTGAAGGCGGGTAATTCTATCGGCAACCTCTTGAGAAAGGTCCAAATTAGGTGCGAAGGAAGCCATTGGAAGCACTTCCAATTATCATCAAGGTATCACTCTTCAATTGACCGCTTCTATGTTCATCTCTTTGTTCTTTTCTGTTTTCTAGGGTTTCTATTTTCATCATCAACTGGCCATTTTCTTGGCATTATTCTGCTTCTTATTTTACCAAAAAGTTCCCATAATAATATGCTCTTGTTTATTCCCCTCCTTTCCACCATTTTCCCTTTTCCTTTTAACCTAATCGACACTTTACATCCCTCTCATTTTCAACGTAAACAGCATATTCCCAATATTCCCAATATTCCCCATTTCCTCTATGCAATCATTTTTCTTCTTTATTCTATTATTTGGGTTTTTCTGATTATAAATCTCTCTGATTTCTCTGTGATTTTGTACATTTGAATCATGAAGTTTTGGAAGATTCTGTGTATTTTGATCGAATCTACTTTGCCTGAATGGAGAGATGAGTTCATTTCTTATAAGAAATTGAAGAAGCAATTGAAATTGATGTACCCTGATAAAGATGGTAAACCTAAGCGCTTAAAGTTTGATGGAGAAGCATCCATGGAGGTTTTTCTTAATCTGCTTGAGGAAGAATTGGACAAGTTTAACCAGTTCTTTGTAAGCAAGGAGGAGTATTATGTTATTAAGTGGAGTGTATGTTACTGACTTTCTGGTTTCATAGTTGTTTTATCTCTCTCTCTTTCTCTTTTTTCCTTCAAAAAGAGCCTAAATTATCGTTTTTATATGTGAGTTGAAGCTGTTTGTAAGGAACTTTGAGTGTGGGTGTGAGGTTTCATGTCGGTTGGAGAGGAGAACGAAGCACTTGTTAGAAGGGTGTGAAAATCTCTCTCTAGTAAACGTGTTTTAAAACCTTGAGAGGAAGCCCAAAAGGGAAAGGCTAAAGAGGACAATATCTGCTAGCGGTGGACTTGAGTTATTACAAATGGTATTAGAGCCAGACATCAGACGGTGTTCAAGCGAGGATGCTAGGCCCCTAAGGGGGATGGATTGTGAGATCCCACATTGGTTGGTGATGAAACAAAGCATTCCTTATAAGGGTGTGAACCTATTTCTAACAGGCGCGTTTTAAAACCGTGAGGCTGATGGTGATACACAACGGGCCAAAACGGATAATAGTTGCTAGTGGTTAGCTTGGGCTGTTACAAATGGTATTAGAGGCAGACACTGTGTTATGTGCCAACAAGGACACTGGGCCCTTAAAGGGGGTGGATTGTGAGATCCCACATCAGTTGGAGAGGGGAATGACACATTCCTTATAAGGGTGTGGAAATCTCTCCTTAATAGACGCGTTTTAAAACTGTGAGGTTGACGGTGATACATAACGGGTCAAAACGGATAATTGTTAAGATGGTTAGTTTAGAAACTTAAAGTTTAGAGTCTCAAAAAGAGGGAAGACATTTCCTCTTTCCTTACCATCTTAGTAACTCATTCTGAAATGTTCTATTCGATACAACTAGAGTGGAAGCCATGGAATATTCAAGGTCATTTGAATAGTTGGTCTGCTAGGCATCTGTTTCTTTTTACCATTTGGTAATGAAATATTTAAGGTCATTTGAATAGTTGGTCTGCTAGGCATCTGTTTCTTTTTACCATTTGGTAATGACGTTGAATGCCACATTTTTCCTTTATGACTCTATGTATTTACATTCACTATAAGAAGTCGTTCGGAATGCAGTTATTGCAGGAGAGGGTAGCAGAGATTGGAGATTCGGACGAACGGTTGATGAAAGTAGGGAGAGACATTGTGGACTTCCATGGAGAAATGGTTTTGTTAGAGAATTATAGTGCCTTGAATTACACAGGTTTATGTTGCTTTCTGTTCCTTTTTCTTCCCCTCCTTGTGCTTTTTTATTGGATTCTGATTATAAAGTTACCATAATCTATCCATGATCATGTTTCTAGAGAATTTTGAAATGTTGAATTAGGACAAGATCTAACGAGGTGAGATGATTTAGAATCCTACTCGTTACATTATGCTCATGACTCGTCCCTACTAATCTCGAGCAAGGCTTTGCGAATCACAAAGCCAGCTCTGAGAGACGAGAATTTTAAATTATTAAATCTCGACCCGAAGACTTGAATCCAAGATCTTGGATGGGAGGGTATCTCTAATCATTCCAAACTCTTACCATCAAGGGCCTCCTCCCTAAAATTTTCTTCCTTTGCTCTGCTCAAGAGACCCTCGTTGGGAATATGACGTTGTGAGATTCCACATCGGTTGGAGAGAGGAACGAAGCATTCTTTTGGGGCCCAGCGTCCTTACTAGTGCCACTGCCTCGTGTCTACCCCCCTTCGGGAAACAACCTCCTCGCTGGCACATCGCCCGATGTCTGGCTCTGATACCATTTGTAATGCCCAGGCCCACTGCTAGTAGATATTATTTTCTTTGGGCTTCCCCTCAAGGTTTTAAAACGCATTTGCTAGGGAGAGGTTTCTATACCCGTATAAAGGGTGTTTCGTTCTCCTCCCCAACCAATGTGGGATCTCACAAAGGGTGTAGAAACCTCTCCCTAATTGACGTGTTTTAAAAACCTTGAGGGGAAGTCCTTAAGGGAAAGCCTAAAGAGGACAATGTTTGCTAGCAATGGACTTGGGCTGTTACATACGAGCTTCGTGTCGAAAATGCCTTTAGTAGTAGTTAGTATATCCGTATCGACTTACAAGATCGACGTTTTATTTCATTTACATTCTAGGGAGTGAGGGTCTTCTAGTGTAATAAACTTTGGTGAGAGGTATATCTGCCCTGCACTAACTTTCATTCTTCCCGTTTTCAAACATAACCGTCCATTCTTTGAAGTAAAACTCATTCAAATACATTCCAAGCACAGGACTGGCAAAGATTCTAAAGAAGTATGACAAGCGAAGTGGCGAGCTCATCCGTGTGCCTTTCATCAAGAAGGTGTTACGCCAACCGTTCTACTCAACCGATGTGCTCGGTCAGCTATTAAAGGAGTGTGAGATGGTACTCGATCTTCTCTTCTTCAAGAAAGACCTGTCATCTGCTGCCGAAACAGTCAATGAGGAAGGAAGAAGGGGTGGCTCGGAGGCGAAGACTGCATCGGAGAGTAAAGAAAAGGTGTTGAACATTCCCGAAGATCTTGAAGAGATCGAGTACATGGAGAGTATGTACATGAAGCTAACATTATCAGCCCTGAAAGCTCTGAAGGAGATTAGAGGTGGAAGTTCAACAATAGATGATTTCTCGTGGCTTTGAACATTACAGAGAGATGAAAATATGAGCATTGAAAAATATGAGTTTTCTTCCTCTAGTTTTGTTGAAGTGAAACAACTCTGATGCATTTCGGGGCCGAGTGAAGGTATTAAGTTTGAAGCTTTTTAGTCTATAAAGTTAAATAATTTGTGTTTTAGGCGTTGAGTTGTTTTATTTGAGTTAAGGAAGTCGATGTTTGGGGTGCAGAGTTGTGCATATATATGTATATGGATTTCAGCTAATTTGAATATGTTTCTTCTGAAAATTGTTGTTAAAACTATTCTGAGAATTATAATAAGATCAATGATTAATGTATTATAAAATTTTGAAAATATGTAAGTTAAGATAATAGTTTATAAGCTTATAAATATATAAATAAAAAAAGCAATTTTTCTCCTCTGAAAAAAAAAAAAAAAAAAAAAAAAACC